CTTTAAGTCCTGATGAAATGAGTCTCGTTTCTAATACCGATTATTGACATGAATACTGCTGATCATGTCCCGACCACTTGTAATTATAAGAGAAGAAAAATATTCAGAAAAATATATTACAAAAAGTACTTCTGCTTTTAAGGACTGCAGTTTGGAAAGATATCCCACAAAATAAGATAGCAGAGCATGTATATTCGATATTTGAAAGGATTAAAACATTAAAATCCACTTATAGCAATTTTTATTTTTATTTTGCTTAATTAAACATTCTTGAACTGTTTATATCATTGGGATATTCTTTGGAAATGAAGTTTTGTCATGTTTGGATATGTACGCATCATCACTTAACAACTATCAAGATTTGACTCTGAAACAAAGAATTTATATCATAACAGCAAAATAATAATCTTTTCTATAACATTTTCATTTTGGTATTGTTGCACGATAAATCCACTACAGGTATCCCCACCATTCACAAAATCGAGTAAACGTTTTGATTCATGGGCGAATGGCAAGTAATCTTACCTCAAAAAGCATGAGCCATTTTGAATATACTAAAAAACTTTTCTTAATATAAAAATGCTGTTATTTATTACTGATATTAAGAAAACAAGTTGGACTGAAAATAGCATTTAGTATATTTACTAAGTTTACATTAGTTTTGCACATTTCCATAATAACGGGTTGCCAAAAGATAAACTCACTACGCTCGCGAATGCTCCACAAGTCTATTTTGTTAATAATCACTCAGCAGCGATAGTTCGAGCAGGACATTCAACATATCGAAAGAAAATTGATACCCTAAAAATTGTAATCACAATAAGAGTGAAAAGGAATATAAAACTGAAAGTGGCGTACATAATCAATGAAACGCAGCCTAAGAAGGAGAAATTAAATATCCATTAAAGAATTAAGAATGTGTGACACCGGCGATGTTAAAATTGGCGAGAGTGGAAACAACATCAGATTTGCAGTCACTTTATCTCCAACAGTGACAACTAAAAAAAACATTGGTAAAAATAGACAAAGAATCGAGCAATGACAATTGTCTTAATCCTGCCTATAATCACTGGAACACTAGGAATATACAGAAAGACTCCTGCACAAATACTGAAAGAAAGTGAAATCCAAGAATTGCTGTGATTATCATCGAGTCTACTGACGATAGTTGTGGATGTTAGCCACTTCAACGATTTTCATCAGAAACATCTTGTATGAAGATCCAAATAATTAAATGTTAATAAAAAAAATCATAACAAACATATGAAGTTTAAGACTGAACTTATAATCCCTGGAGCACTAGGAATAGTCTCAATCTCGCTGCAATGGGACTAGAATTAGAAATACCATGAATAAATGAAACAATTCAAATGGCGAAGTCTTTGAAAATACAGAAAACATTATTAACATGTTGAGATAATCTTCCTGTCATTTGATCCCTAGCGATGACCTCTAGATATTTCTGGCATCAACAGATAATATACATTAGGTGACTTGTGTACTTTATTTAAAAGTAAGTGTACTTTTCAAAATTCTTGTTCTGTTATAAGATTTGATGACTTTCCCCTCTCTACGCTGTGACTGAGCTCCTAAATTCTGATTTCGGTTGTCGCGACCCAAGCGTCTCTTTTTTGTTCTACAACGATCGAGTATTTTAGTTTACAGAAAGTAAAATCCAAGGACATTTTAAAGAAAAGCAAGAGGAAAGGACCAACTCTTAACTGCAAAAAAAAGAATGCATAGTTGTTAGTAAGATACAGTAGAATGTATGAGTTACGTATCGGGAATATCAAATTCAAGCAATTACGGGAATTTTTTGTGTTGTGAAAGATGACAGAAAGTGTAACATAGAAATTCGAGGACGCATAGAAAGAGCGACAAATGCCCTTCTGAAATTATGCAAAGTATTAAGAGATACGAAAATATCCGTAGAAACAACTGCTAAATTACTATGTAATATCTTACCTCCTATTTCGTAGTAAGTGCTAAACAATCTCCACACAGATTAAGAAGATATTTGAAGTGACAAAGATGTACTACTATTGATGAATGGTTAGAATACCACTAACAGAATATGGGAATAACGAGGAAGTTTTAAGGAAGATAGAAATTACAAGGAAACTTACAAGTATACTTACAATCCTAAAAATACAGTTGAAATTTATGAGAGACATAATGAGGGAAAAGAGGCTGTGGAATTTAATACTCTTTATGCATATTAAAAACAAAATAAGCAGGGGATAAAGCGAATAATTTATTCGATGAGTTTGAGTGAATAGATGTTAAAACAGAAATAAAGATTTCTCTATTTATGAGATAAAATATTCTAATAATTTACAACATTTACATCGTTCGGGCTATTGTCTTCATCTTTATCGCCATATTAACGAGGTATCGGTCGTTGTACGCTTCGGCCTTCTTCAAGTGATATTAGTTGGAACTTCGAACGGAAACATTTATTTAGTCAATAAAAAGAATTGAGGAGTTGAGTAACCAAGGTGAATGAAGTGAAGCTGAGATATGCAAAAGCAATGGTACGTGGAATTAAAACAATCTAGCCCTATAAACTAAGGGTTTCGGTTCGAAATTCCAACTAATATCAGCTGAAGAAGGCCGAAGCCTACCACGGCCAAAATAGTGTGAATATGCCAATAAAGATGAGGAAAACAGTCCGAAATATGTAAATAGTAATAAAGATGTTCAGTAAAGGAGTAAATATAGAACTTAAGGTAACATTATGTCGTATTCTGTGTATTATAGCGTATTCTAGAAACATAACTTTGCCTCGTGGATGATTACATTTCCTTCTACCTATATGTAAGATGCTGCATTTTTGTAAGATTGATTTCCCTTGTGTATATGGTTATCATCTTGTGTACAAATTTTATTGTTTTTTGTACGTTTATTGTAGAATCTTGAGTATGTATGTATTACATTGTATAAATATATATTATATTGTATTTCGTATGTATTTGTTGTATTGTCTTTCGCACGCATTTATTATATAGCCTTATGTATTCTGTTCCTTTTTAGTTTCATTCTTTCTTTTATAACTAATCTGTTGACTATATACAAATCTGTATGCTTATGAAGTGAAAGCGTTTCTTTTAGATAACAAGCTTTTAGAAATTACCTCAGCACAACAAAGCATTGCCTGTAAGTTATGAAACGCACCGTTACAAGCGCCATGCGCGAAGCCACATCGAAGTTGAAACTAGGAATATATGAAATTGATCATCCTTTTTCTGTTGGACTATGTTGGGCAAGGTTGTTTTTTTTTAAAAAAGCAACGAAAAGAGAGATTGCCTTTTCTGGGGTTAATGAATTCAAAGTAGCGGCAGAACATCATCAGTCTAGTAGTAGACTTTCTTTCTTTCACTCGCTATCTAGCTCTCTCTCTCTCTCTCTCTCTCTCTCTCTCTCTCTCTCTCTCTCTCTCTCTCTCTCTCTCTCGTTCGCTTGCTTAAACACTCTCTTCCTCAAAATAATGACTATCCTCTTTGACCTTCTCGTTCTGGTTCACGTTTTTCAAGTGACAAAATGTTAACCGATCAGTTGTATCATTAATACACTAATCGTAGCAAAAACGACTGTACCACCAACTTGTACTCATTTCTGAAATTCTGTTATATGCACGTCTACCTTGCAACATGGATATTTTCCAGTATTTACTAATGCTGATTTAGACTAAAGTAACAGTAAGAGACAGACCGACGAGCTAAGTTAAAACGACTGGAGATATGATATTTCTCTTTCATCTATTTTAGAATCAATTAATATGTTGTTTTTTTCTAGATAGATTTTGAATTATACATTTTATCCTAACAACGTTTTAAAAATGTTTTTCTTATGTTGTATAATCAATTAAATACAAATATCTTTATTTAATGGTTACACATAAACCTCATTCCTTGTCCATGTCATCTAGATTAGAGAAACCCAATAGAAAGATGGTATCATTCCATTTGGTATATTAGGTCTTAGAAGTATAGGTTAGTAGGGTGTATTCGAAAATCAAGAGAAAATGAACAAAAATGTTTGAAGTGAGCGAATTTGATATCAGTTTGAAGTTAGATTAAATAAAACCTGTAAACTATCAATCTATTCCGTGAATAAAAATTTCTCTCTTTAAAAAAGAAGCAATGAGATATAGTCTGTTCCTTGTTGTTCGCATAAAATAGAATAGTAAGCTAACGAGACCGTTCTCAGAGAGATTATCTGAGTGAAGTTAAAAACCAAGTAAAATTGGAAATATGGAACATAATATCTAGTCTCTGAGTAATGGTTTCAACAAGCATTATTCAAAAAGGTTTTCTTACAACTGAAAAGATTTTACAAAAGTTTTAGAAGGTCCCCTTACATTTTCGAGCATAAGGTACTGATAGTCTATGTTATTTTCGTCGTAATATTTCAGCTGAAATTCTCAAAAAAGATTTTTTTCAAAATTAAATATTTCTATAAATGGATATTAGAGACTACGTTTAAAAAATCACCGATTATTGACGACCATTTTTATTAATTCATTGAAACTCTCTACCAAATATGTTTCTTTTGTAACCGATGAAATCGATGCAAACAGACACAATTTAAGCCTCCTTTTATACCCAAGGTATATGAAATAATCGTTAAATTGATTGCAAAAATGGTGTGTCTAAAATGTTCACCATCTCTTGCGTAGAAAATATCTTCTTAGTGTGATATGTATTTAAGGCTAGTTTCAGACTAACAGAGATTAAAAGCAAAACCCTATATTATCGTGTTCCGTTGTGTCTGTCATTGGAGGATAGAAATTGAGAGCTAATCTAAACTTCTTTTGATATATCGCTTGTTTATCTATGTAAATTAAATCCACCGTTATATTGGGGGGAAAACTGAATTTTTGCTCTTATTATTGGAGGCTGAACTCAGTGCAAATTATTAGTTCTTAGAGACTAAAAAGAATAAAATTAATGATTTTCGAAAGTGAATATAGATGAGAATGAGGTCGAACCGACAATTTT